TGCGCTGTGCGCGGTGTGTGCTGTGTGCTGTGTGCTGTGCGCTGTGTGTGCTTGTGCGCTGTGTGTGCTGTGTGCTGTGTGCTGTGTGCTGTGCGCTGTGTGTGCTGTGTGCTGTGTGTGCTGTGTGCTGTGTGTGCTGTGTGCGCTGTGTGCGCTGTGTGTGCTGTGTGCTGTGTGTGCTGTGCGCTGTGCGCTGTGTGCTGTGTGCGCTGTGTGCGCTGTGTGCGCTGTGTGTGCTGTTGTGTGCTGTGTGCGCTGTGTGCTGTGTGTGCTGTGTGTGCTGTGTGCGCTGTGTGCTGTGTGCGCTGTGTGCGCTGTGTGCGCTGTGTGGTGTGTGCGCTGTGTGCGCTGTGTGCTGTGTGTGCTGTGTGCTGTGTGTGCTGTGCGCTGTGTGCACTGTGTGTGCTGTGCGCTGTGTGTGGTGTGTGTGCGCTGTGTGTGCTGTGCGCTGTGTGTGGTGTGTGTGGTGCTGTGTGTGCTGTGCGCTGTGTGTGCTGTGTGCTGTGTGTGCTGTGCGCTGTGTGTGCTGTGTGTGCTTGCGCTGTGTGTGCTGTGCACTGTGTGTGCTGTGCGCTGTGTTGGTGGGTGTGTGTGCGCTTGTGGTGTGCTGTGCGCTGTGTGTGCTGTGCGCTGTGTGCGGTGTGCACCGTGCACCATGCACCGGGAAGGGGGCTCCAGGAAAGGCCCTGCCCCCCTCACTGCCCGACACACGGCACCACAGGCTGCAGCCTCAGCTAAGCCTAAATCTCTCCCCTGCACGTGTGGGCAGGCAGGGTGCGCGTGGGCAAAGCAGGGTGCGCTTGGGCAAGCATGGTGCGCGTGGGCACGCAGGGTGTGCGTGGGCAGGCCAGGGTTGGGCGTGGGCAGGCAGGGTGGCGCGTGGGCAGGCAGGGTACGCGTGGGCAGGCAGGGTGGGCGTGGGCAGGCAGGGTGCGCGTGGGCACGCAGGGTGAGCGTGGGGCAGGCAGGGTGCGCGTGGGCAGGCAGGGCGGGGCGTGGGGCAGGCAGGGTGCGCGTGGGCACGCAGGGTGGGCGTGGGCACGCAGGGTGGGCGTGGGCAGGCAGGGTGCGCGTGGGCAGGCAGGGTGGGCGTGAGCACGCAGGGCGCGCGTGGGCAGGCAGGGCGCGCGTGGGCAGGCAGGGTGCGCGTGGGCAGGCAGGGTGGGCGTGGGGCACGCAGGGGTGCGTGTGGGCAGGCAGGGTGCGCGTGGGCACGCAGGGTGCGCGTGGGCAGGCAGGGCGGGCGTGGGGCAGGCAGGGCGCGCGTGGGCAGGCAGGGCGCGCGTGGGCAGGCAGGGCGCGCGTGGGCACGCAGGGCACGCGTGGGCAGGCAGGGTGCGCGTGGGCAGGCAGGTTGGGCGTGGGCACACAGGGTGGCGCATGGGCACCGCAGGGTGCGCATGGGCACGCAGGGTGCGCGTTTGGCATGCAGGTTGGGCGTGGGCACACAGGGTGCGCATGGGCAGGCAGGGTGCGCGTGGGCAGGCAGGGCGGGCGTAGGCACGCAGGGTGCGCATGGGCACGCAGGGTGCGCGTTGGCATGCAGGTTGGGCGTGGGCACACAGGGGTGCGCATGGGCAGGCAGGGTGCGCGTGGGCAGGCAGGGTGCGGGCGTGGGCACGCAGGGCGGGCGTGGGCACGCAGGGTACGCGTGGGCAGGCAGGGTGCGTGTGGGCACGCAGGGTGCGTGTGGGCACCGCAGGGTGGGCGTGGGCACGCAGGGTACGCGTGGGCACGCAGGGGTGCGCGTGGGCAGGCAGGGTGGGCGTGGGCAGGCAGGGTGCGCGTGGGCACGCAGGGTGGGCAGGCAGGGTGCGCGTGGGCAGGCAGGGTGCGCGTGGGCACGCAGGGCGGGCGTGGGCAAGCAGGGTGCGCGTGGGCACGCAGGGCGGGTGTGGGCAGGCAGGGTGGGCGTGGGCAGGCAGGGTGGGCACGCAGGGTGGGCGTGGGCAGGCAGGGTGCGCGTGGGCAGGCAGGGTGCGCGTGGGCAGGCAGGGTGCGCGTGGGCACGCAGGGTGGGTGTGGGCAGGCAGGGCGGGGCGTGGGCAGGCAGGGTGCGCGTGGGCACGCAGGGTGCGCGTGGGCACGCAGGGCGGGCGTGGGCAGGCAGGGGGCGCGTGGGCAGGCAGGGTGGGCGTGGGCACGCAGGGGTGGGCACGCAGGTTGGGCGTGGGCAGGCAGGGTGTGCGTGGGCAGGCAGGGCGGGGCGTGGGCAGGCAGGGCGGGCGTGGGCAGGCAGGGTGCGCGTGGGCAGGCAGGGCGGGCCTGGGCAGGCAGGGTGCGCGTGGGCATGCAGGGGTGCGCGTGTGCAGGCAGGGTGCGCGTGGGCAGGCAGGGTGCGCGTGGGCACGCAGGGTGGGCGTGGGCAGGCAGGGTGGGTGTGGGCACGCAGGGTGGGCGTGGGCAGGCAGGGTGCGCGTGGGCACGCAGGGTGGGTTGTGGGCACGCAGGGTGGGTGTGGGCAGGCAGGGGGGCGCGTCGGCACGCAGGGTGCGCGTGGGCAGGCAGGGCGGGCGTGGGCAGGCAGGGCGGGCCTGGGCAGGCAGGGTGCGCGTGGGCATGCAGGGTGCGCGTGTGCAGGCAGGGTGCGCGTGGGCAGGCAGGGTGCGCGTGGGCACGCAGGGTGGGCGTGGGCAGGCAGGGTGCGCGTGGGCAGGCAGGGTGGGGCGTGGGCACGCAGGGTGGGCGTGGGCAGGCAGGGTGCGCGTGGGCAGGCAGGGTGGGTGTGGGCACGCAGGGTGGGCGTGGGCAGGCAGGGTGCGCGTGGGCACGCAGGGTGGGTGTGGGCACGCAGGGTGGGTGTGGGCAGGCAGGGGGCGCGTCGGCACGCAGGGTGCGCGTGGGCAGGCAGGGCGGGCGTGGGCAGGCAGGGGGCGCGTCGGCACGCAGGGTGCGCGTGGGCACGCAGGGCGGGCGTGGGCAGGCAGGGTGCGCGTGGGCAGGCAGGGGGCGCGTGGGCACGCAGGGCGGGCGTGGGCAGGCAGGGGGCGCGTCGGCACGCAGGGTGCGCGTGGGCACGCAGGGTGTGGGGACCTCGGACAGCGTCACGTGGGTTGGGCGTGGGGGCTCTGGCTCTGGACCTGCTCCTGCCAGGGGCTCTGGCTCTGTCCTCCCTCTTTGTGCTCGCCGCCTCTTCCCCGTCGTGTCTGGTCATGTGGAGTCATACGTCCAACCTTCTTTGCTCTGCCCGTCAGTCCGGCATGCGCAGCCCCGGGCCGCGGAGGGGTCCGGGGAGCACAGGCTCCCCTGTGCGGTGGGGAGGGGGTGTGAGTCTGCACACACACACACACACACACACACACACACACACACACACACGTGGAAAGGCACGTGACGCAGAGTGCATCAGCCACAGCATGGGGCTGAGGGCTCTGCTGGGAGCGGCTTTCCTTCCAGAAAGCTCCTTCCTTCATTTTCTGAGCCCAACAGTGGCTGATAACTCGAAAGGCAAACCCCCTCCAGCCCCCAGCCCCCACGGTGGGATGTAACATCCTTTGTGGGGTTTTGTTTTGTTTTTAACACATTCCCAGACTCCATTTTCTCACCAGTTAGAGTCCAGTAGTCAGGAGCTTTGGTAAATTGGATCTCCAGTGATCCAAAGTTTATTGTGACGATTGGGGGAATGTAGTTGCTTTCAAGTAAGAAGGGTTTTTAAGCCAATTTTGAAATGTTTCTTTCAAGAGTTACTGCAGTAAATTCACAGTATTGATCCTAGCGAGTTGTGACTCTGGGTCACCTAAGTGTGTCAAGTCTTCTCTCTATTACTCCAGCAGCACCACAGTCCCCGCTGAGCCGGCCCTGGATCACGGCCTGCTCCGCTGTGGGCAGCACAGGGCCGGCCAGGCCTGCAGTGGATGCCCCGTCTCCCTGCAGGGGTCTAGGTGCATCGGGGATCCAGTCTGGCAGGCAGGACTCTGAGTAAAGGCACAGCTCACAGATTTGAAAGACTCGGGCTCCCTGTGAGTGGTGGGGGTCGCTCCCGGGGGACCCCGGCCAGCCTTAGAGAGCATGTCCCCTCCCAGGCTCTGCCGGTCCACTCTACAGACCCTGGATGCAACCTTGGGATCCAGTCCTGCTGAGGACAAGACCAGCTGATGTTTGGGGAGCCTCTGGTCTCCCGACAGAGCCTCCGTCCCCACACAGCCTCAGATCTCAGATCGGGCCTCCGCCCCCATACAGCCTCCAATCCCCACACAGAGAGGCTGGTGTGCTGTCTGCCGGGTCGTGCCTGAAATTGTAAGGTCCTCCTATTTTAAAATCCAGTGGTTCTAGGGAAGGACCAGTTCCAGCCGGTCCAGGGCAGTCTACACACACACACACACACACACACACACACACACACACACACACACACACACACACACACACACACGCCCTGCACTCTCCAGGCAGCTGTCAGAGAAATGAAGTGGCAGCTCCTCTGGAGGCCGTGCTGGGGCCGCAGACGCCTCCCACCCACCTCGCACCACGCAGCCTGCCTCCCCTGGAGGCCCCAGGCCTGTTCCCTGGAGGAGGAGGAGGGGCAGGTGACACCACAGCTTCCGGTCCTGGGCCGGCAGGCGTGGCCGTGAGCTCCCAGGGGACGCCCCTGCCCATGGCTCTTCCTCCTCTGACCTTTTTCAGCTGCGTCCCAGTGTCTCTGGGCAGCAAACAGCTTCTTCCTCTCTCCGGTCCTGGGCAGGCCCGCACCGGGCTCCCGGGCGGCTCTTCATGCCCAGAGCCCTGCCCAGATCTCAGGAAGCCCACGTGGTCGCAGGCTCACCCACACGCATGCTGATTCGTGGCCGTGGGTTAATGCACATGAGGGTTTTTTTTTTTTTTGCCCGGTTCATAACTCGGGGAGGCTGCAGCACCCCGCTCGGAAGTGATGCCACGTCCCAGGAGCCCACGCAGCCTCGAGGCGTGGCTGCTTCATCTTCCTGTTCCAAGCGTAACTGTTGGGGGGCAGGGGCTCTGGACAGAGGCCCTGACGGTCAACCCCCCTCCCCCCCCTCTTGCAGGAGCAGCGGTGTCTTCAGTGAGGTCATGCAGATGGATTTTGAAATCGCGGGTGCCGGCGGCCTGGCAGGCGCGCAGCCCATCACGTGGCAGGTGGAGTACCCGCGGAGGGGGACCACGGACATCGCGGCCTCCGAGATCTTCGTCAGCCAGAGGGACCTGGTGGGCATCGTCCCGCTAGCTATGGTAAGGTGCAGTCCCGGCCGCACTCTCTGCCCTGCCCCCCCACTCCCCCCACAGCGCCCTCCCCCACCCCGCCCCCACGGCGCCCTCCCCCACCCCCGCCCCCCACGGCGCCCTCCCCCACCCCGCCCCCCACGGCGCCCTCCCCCCACCCCGCCCCCCACGGCGCCCTCCCCCACCCCGCCCCCACGGCGCCCTCCCCCACCCCGCCCCCCACGGCGCCCTCCCCCACCCCGCCCCCACGGCGCCCTCCCCCACCCCGCCCCCCACGGCGCCCTCCCCCCACCCCGCCCCCACGGCGCCCTCCCCCCACCCCCGCCCCCACGGCGCCCTCCCCCACCCCGCCCCCACGGCGCCCTCCCCCACCCCGCCCCCACGGCGCCCTCCCCCCACCCCGCCCCCACGGCGCCCTCCCCCACCCCGCCCCCACGGCGCCCTCCCCCACCCCGCCCCCACGGCGCCCTCCCCCACCCCGCCCCCCATGGCACCCTACCCCCGCCCCCCACGGCACCCTCCCCCACCCCGCCCCCACGGCGCCCTCCCACCCCGCCCCCACGGCGCCCTCCCACCCCGCCCCCACGGCGCCCTCCCCCCACCCTGCCCCCACGGCGCCCTCCCCCCACCCCGCCCCCACGGCGCCCTCCCCCCCACCCTGCCCCCCACAGCACCCTCCCCCCCGCCCCCACGGCGCCCTCCCCCCACCCCGTCCCCCATGGCGCCCTCCCCCCCCCACGGCACCCTCCCCCTGCCCCCCACAGCGCCCTCCCCCCACCCCGTCCCCCATGGCGCCCTCCCCCCCACGGCACCCTCCCCCTGCCCCCCACAGCGCCCTCCCCCCCACCCCGTCCCCCATGGCGCCCTCCCCCCCCACAGCACCCTCCCCCTGCCCCCCACGGCGCCCTCCCCCCATGCCCAGCCCCTGCCTCCCGGACACTGCCGTACAGTGCCCGCGCTAGCTCACCCCACAAGGTCGCACCATGCAGCCAGATGTGCGCTTGCGTACCTTCTCCTGAGGCCCCTCCCGCCCTTCCTTCGCTTTTGCTTCTGGCTTGGCTTTCTGCCCCTTCATGACAGAAAGTTGTGTGTTCAGCCGGGCGCTGGTGGCTCACGCCTGTAATCCTAGCTACTCAGGAGGCTGAGATCTGAGGATCGCGGTTCAAAGCCAGCCCAGGCAGGAGAGACTGTGAGACTCCTATCTCCAATAAACCACCAGAAAACCGCAAGTGGCGCTGTAGCTCAAGTGGTAGAGTGCTTGCCTTGAGCTGAAGAGCTGAGGGACAGCGCCCAGGCCCAGAGTTCAAGCCCCACGACCGACAAAAAAAAAAAAAAAAAAGGTTGTGTGTTCACGCGTGCGTGCCTCACCTGAGCTACCCCACGCCGTGCCAGCCCCAGCCAGGCAGCGGCCACGCTGTCAGCGCCTGGAAGGAAGCCCGGTGCCCCGTGGGTACTGAGAACGAATGAGTGAATGAATGAATGATGCTCCATGTCCGCCGTCCCCAACCACACGGGAGCAGGGGCGGGGACGGGGACGACCCCCCCCCCTGCACCATGCGAGCCCCCCCAAGTAGAAACGAGTCCATCAATACTCGTTGCCTGAATTAACGCGGCCTAACGGAGACAAATGGTCCTTATTGTTGGTTCTTTGATTGCGGTGCCAAGGCGAGCATTAAAAACTGTCAGCCTCTATTCCCAGTCCCGTAATTACACCATCATTTGAAGCAGGTTAGACCATTGATCTACGAATAAATTAACAACTCATTTGCGCTGTTGCACCGTGGGGGCGGGGAGGGGTGTTGTGGGAGGACGCGGGGAAGCGGGGTCCGTGGACACGGGGGGACACGGCACACGTGTGTGGGGCCAGCTTTACAGACTTGCACGTTCGTTTTCCAGTTGAAGAAGAGGTCAGGAGCTCCCCAGGACTCAGACAGCGGCCCGCATTGCAGGCCTAGGAGGAAGTGGGGAATCTCTTCTTCTGTTCAGAAACAGGGTTCTGTCTAGCCTCGGTCATCCTTGGCCTAACACTCAGGCTTTAGCGTGAAGCCAAGGGCTTGCTTGCTGCTGCGCATGTCCGGCTTCCTTAGCAAGTGGCCTGGGGCTCATCTCCTTCCCTCGGAAGGAGCTTGGGGAAGGCAGCGTTTGCTAGCAAATCTTCTTCTTCCCCCACCATTATGGTAGTGCCGACTGGATATGCGTGTCACTCACAAAAATGACAGATCGTGTACGCAGAATGAGTATTTCAGAGCGCTTGCTGCCGCCGATGTGAGCCTCACATCGCCCCAGACCCTCCTCGGCTGGTGTGAGGATGAACCGCAGGCCCGGGTCACCGAAGGCCACGGAGGAGAGCGCGGACTTCCCGTGGAGCCCCGAGCAGGGAGCAGGGCAGGCAGCCAGCGCCTCACATACCAAGGATTCTGGAAAGAAGCATGGACGGGAACTGCCTGCCAAGATTCCTTTCTGAGAGCCTTCGTTGGGCGCATCTGACTGAGAACTGATCTTGGTATTTTGCTTTGGAAATTAATATAAGGCCAGCTAAAAGAAACGGGATTTTCCCTGCATCTGGGATTTACAAAGATCGGAACCCGCACCTTCGCGAATTTCACTGAACGGTGCTCCCTTTCCTGCACGTGTGCACACACATCAGTCTGTCAGCATCACACGTGAGCCCTGCGCTCCCCAGGCTGCAGGGGTGGTGTGAAAGCCCTCGGTGATGTGGACAGACTCCTTCCTTCCTTCCTTTCTCTGTGGTCGTCTGAGGGACAGAGCACGGTCCGCTTCTCTCCCAGGCTTCCTATTGCCTAGTTCTCTGGCAACTCTGTGTAGGACAAGGGATGAACAGTGCGATCCGTGTTTGTGCTTAAGATTGAATCTGCACATGGCGGGGGCCCGGGGCTGGAGGATGTCTACGCCAGGTCAAGAGGCAGATTCCACCCTTCCCGTACTGCTGTCCCCCCACTGCACCCTGCTGGAGTGGCGTCACGTTCCAGAAGATTCTCAGAAATGACCAGGAGACAGGCTTGCTGAAAGCGAAGTGGAAAGTAAGGAGGGAAGAAATGAGGCGAGGAGAGTGCTCTCGGGAGTCAGAGACGCCGTGCTGGGAAGAGCCGCCCCTCGCACCCAGCACCCAGCGCCTCCCCGGTGCCCCCAAGAGCCGTCTCACACAGACCCGGCTGCGGAAGCGGCTGAGCGGTGGAAAAGCTAGGGAGAAGAAGACCCGATTTTCCTAAGAGGGAAATATTGCACACTTGTAATCGCATGTATTTGCTCACAGAAAGGCCTGTCGCTATTATTTTTGCAACATCGGAGTCTCCCTACCTAAGACCCTTCTCTTTTTTCTTACTTTTTCGGGTGATGGTGATGGGCAGGGAGCCTCCGGCCATCCTGAGGTCTGACTCCTTTCCCGTTTCTCTTAATCTCGGTGTTAGAAGGGACAGTTCAAGGAATACGAGCCCCACAAGTACTACGTGAAAATGACATCAAAGAAGTGACTACGAGCCGCGCCTTCCACCGGCGATCAATTCAAATGTGAAATGTGATGGAAACGGAGGAGCTGGTGTTGCTCGTCCCCAGGGAATCGCAAAGAAAGCCCCCGTGAAGCCACCTCTGCTGAAGGAGCCGGGTGGAAAAAGCAGTCCACCCAGGGCTGGTGGCACACCATGGGTCCGGGCGCCTGGCTGGCTGCGGATGAAGGCATCAGAGAAGGTCTCAGCACAGGAACATCGCTGTCTAAACCCTGCCCACGTGAATGGCTCACGGCCCACGGTCCAGAACCACGCGATTCCCACATGATCCGTGCAGAGTCTTGAACCCTGCGGCTCGCAGGTCTCTGGGACACTGGGACTGGCCCACATGGCCCTCAGCAGGTGAGAAATTAGACCAACGGATGGGCAGGAAGGAAAACCACTGCTGTCCCCTCAAACAGCCTCAACCAAAGAAGCCGGACGTAAAGGAATCGCCTATTGCAGGATTCCATGTTGTTAGGAAATGAACTTTCCAGAAAGGGCAAAATCATGGAGACGGGAAGCAGATCTGCAATTGCCTGGCCAGATTTAGGAGCAGAGATTAATTGAAAATGGCCCGTGAGAACTTTTTAGTGCTTCGTTTGTCTGTTGTTTGGGGACAGTTGTCCCCGGCAAGCCCGGGCTGGCCTCAGATGTGGGATCCTCCTGCCCCTACCTCCTGAGCGCTGGGATTACAGGCGTACACCACCATGCCTGGCTCCTGTCATTCTCCTTCTGTGTGCTGGAGAGGGTGTGGAACCAGTGTTGCAGAGATACATAGACACACATAGATACAAGTTGCTACTGTTCACATCCCCTGACACTTAGTGTGATTACATTTCATTTCATTGTAAGGGTGTTTTGTTTGTCCTGAGAGGCTCTGATTCCGTCCACAGCTGCAGGACAGTGAGCTGCGACTCGGATCCAATGAAACACTGCACTTTGCTTCTTCCAGGTAAAGCCTGGAAACAAGGGCCGTTTCTTTGTTGGGACACACCGCGTTGCTCACCACCTCTGCCGCATTGCTCATCTCTGCCACTAGGGGGAGGTCAGCCATTATTTATGTGATGGGGCTGGGCTCCCTGGCTAGTGTCGGCCCAGGACGATGGGTGGGGTGTGCGGATGGATTTGGCAGCCTTGGAAGGGAAAAGGAGTCGTCTCTGCTGATGAGAGCCATGAACTTTCTTCCCTTCACCGTCAGACACTGTAGGAAGCCAGACGCTCCCGAGCGGCTGTGGATTCTGGCCCTGTCTTGGGCCTTGGGAAAGCGCAGTGTCTTGTCGGATGGAGTGTCTGGTGGACCGTGGAGGCGGGGTTCCCGGGGCCCAGCACAGCCTTGCAGACAGCCCCTCACCCTGTCCTGGGTCGTACCTGCTCAGCCAGGGCACGAGCCTGACCATCAGTCCTGCCGTTCCCTTTTGCTTATTTCTGTGTTCAGAACCCTAAGCTCCGGCTGATGAAGGCACCAGAAACGCTGCTTCTAAACTCCTTCCCTGTGGAGCCCCAGGCAATGGCCAGACCACCTTTCTCTGCCAGGCATCGCCCGCTCACTGCCAGGGCCGCTGGTGGGGCCCAGGTGCGTTTGGTTCATCGCACGGCCCGATGGTGGCTGCGCTGACCAGCCTGGCTGCCCCGCTGCCGGCCAGCTCGGGCACGGCTCTGTGATCTCACCTGTACCCACCTGGTGTGTCTGCATCAGATGGCCCAGCGGTTCAACTCACACAGTTCTAAGGACCCTGATTATCCAGGAAAACAGAAACAGAGACAGACAGAATGAGGGGGGGGGGGTAAGGGAGGGAGGGAGCGAGCGAGCGAGCGGGAGGGGTAGAGCTGGCGCCCTGGCCCTGCATGGCCCCTAAGGACCGTGTCACTTGCACTTGCACTTCCCTGGCGGTCCGAGCTCCGGTCTGTGACCATCATGCCTCAGGTGGAGAGGAATCCAGGTGTGGAGGTGCAGTGCACGTCTTTCCCTCTGGTGTGTGCTTGGGTGAGACGGGTCCTTGGGAGCAGCAGGACCCGGTAGCACACCATTCCACACCCTCCTAGCCCTGCCGGAGCGGCCGTGCTTCAGCTCCGACTCCAGACCTCCTCGGCCGCAGTAGTAATGACCTGTACCTAGTGACAGGAGAATACGAAAAGCAGCAGGGACGCCAGGTCCGGGGCAGAGAAGAGCATGTTTCCCAGCTTGCCCCCTTTCTTGATGGGGTTGCAAGACACTTTGCGTTTCTCCAGGATGTGGGTACCGCTCATTCCCCACACCGCCCCGAAGGACAATTCGGGTAATGATTTGGTTACGGCACTAGACCTTCTGAGAACAGCATCTGCCCAAATTGAATTGCTTTCTTGTTTTAAATGCATACTGTGGAATAGCTTCTCCATCTTGTGTTAGCAGCAAATTGACAGCTAGGTAAAGTTTGTGTCCTGCACCCGGCTTCGCACCGTGAGGGAATTGGAAGTAAATGAGGATGGAGGTGGGTTTTCCCGGAGTGGCAGCACACAGAGTGCTCTGCGCCCGGACTCTGCAGAGCTGTCAGCGCGTGGCCTCGGGGAGGGAGGAGGGTCTGCTCAGCTACCTCAGAGAGGAGCTCGACGCCCTGGCTGAGTGGCCGGCTGTCTCGCGTCAGCTTGCCTCTCTGGACAGAGGGGGGAAGGAAGAGGGAGGGGGCTTTTAACTCCCCCTTCTCGGGTACCGTGTTTCTAGCAGGATGGCTGCTCTGCCCTCTGGTGCCCAAGGAGGGCCACAGAGACCCTGCGAAAGAATCTGGAAGTTCATCGGTAGAACCACTGTCTAGCAAGTGACAGGCCCTGAGCTCACACTCAAGTGACACCAAAAGAGAGTCATGCTTTGAAGCTCGTCACTGACGACCTTGATCGGAAGTGACAAGGACACGCAGAAGGACCCCCTCTCTCCCCCCAGTTCCAGAAAGAATCCTGCCTGACACTGGAAGCTCAGCCACCAGGGGCGCGCACCGGGGGCACTCAGAGCTACCAGGTAGCATCGGACAGGCTATGGCCAATCAAAACACAGCAGAAGTAACTCTGGCCAATCAGAAAGGAAGGAGCGACCCAGCTGACCAATCAGAAAGGAAGGGGCGACCCAGCTGACCAAAATGATGCTCACGGGTGACACGGAGCCCACACGTGTCCACGGTGATGTCCTCGGTGGGAAGCCAGTTCCTCCATGTGCCAGAAGCAGCCCTCATAGAGGCTGCTGCGTGCAGGGAAGAGAGCCAGCTCCAGAGAGGGTGGGGGCTGGCACAGCTGCGCTCAGCACCGGCCTCTTCCATCTCGGCCCTGGACAGAGACCTCGGGCCCGATGGCGCTGTGGAACGTCTCTGGGAATGACATGAGGGGCAGAGCTCTGGGGCCACCGTAAAGGGAGACGCATAGATCCACAGCATCGTCCTAACTGGTGAGGAGGAGCTCAGCAGCAGCCTGCACCCTGGGAGTCTGCTCCCGCCGGAGGGAACGCCGTGAAGCCGGTGCCTGCGTGCAGCTGTGCGCCAGCCACGGATGCACCCAGGGCTTCACTCAGCTCCAGCTCGGGGCTGTTTTGCACAGTGGAGTGGCCTGAACACCGGGAGACTGCAGGACGGGCCTGACGTTCCCCACAGTGGCAAGCAAACCCTTTCCCCTGAACCACACCGCGTGCCCTCCACCGGGACAGAGCCGCGCTCGCTCCCTAGTTCTGTTTTCACATGGGCACGTGGAGGCTGCGATGGGCGTTGGGCTGAATCCGTAGGTTGCCCTTGGTGGAGACATTCAGACAGTGTGACCTGTGTCCCCTCCTGACGGCGGTGCCGGCCGGCTGCCACCATGAATGGACCTTCGAGGGGACGGTCTCGTGGGAGTTGGTGCCCAGTGAGGCCACGGGTGGGGCCCCAGCCATGCTGACTGGCCTGGGGGAGGGGCGCGGGGGAGGGGAGCAGGTGCCGATGTGGGGGAGGGGCGCAGGAGTCAGAGGCCCCGGGAAGGCACTGTGAATGGCTGACCCCTTGTTCCTGTCCAGGACTGAGCTGCGCTCCACCATTTCTGTCTTTGCACCCAGTTTTCTCCCCTGCAGGGAGCCCCCAGCACCTCTCCCTTCCCTCCCTGTGCCGGACAAGCACCCCAGGCTGCCTCCCATCCCCTCCCGGACATTTCGGTCACGTCCGCACTCCTGAGTCTTTGCCCCGTTCCGGAAGTAATGCTACACTCCCTTTGTATCTAAAAACTTAAATACAAATTGTGAAACAGCTAAAGCAATATACATTTATGGGAGGGGGAATCAAAGGACAAACGTGCTCTCTCGCAGGCTGAAAGGGTGGTGATTTAAAGTTCCCTGTACTGTAATTCTCTGATGCATGATGGGAGGGGTGGGGGAGAAGGAGCAGGGGAGGAGAGGGAGAGGCGCTTGCAGGAGATTGCGGGGCTCTGTGCATTCTGCAGAGTCCTGAGGTGATGCTGATGAGATCTGCTGACCCCCGCTGGCCAGCGCTGCCCTGCGGGCTCCAGACAGAGGCACCTCCAAACACGCCGCAGGAGGCTGCCCGGAGGCCTGCCATGGCAGGCCGCCCGCAGCCTGGGGACACACGGAGGGGGGGGCGTGGCACAGAGCTGGCTCTGCTCCCTGCGCCCCAGTCCAACACACAGCCCTCCCTGTCCAGCTGTGGTCCAGGAAGTTTCCAGAAAACACGTGATCGAATGCACTGAGAGCTGTGTGCGCCACACACTCCCTCTGTACATCAGTCTACAAACTGTGTACATGCACACACAGACACGCATGCACACACATGTACTTGTAGTTTTTTTTAATTCATCAGGCCTTGAATATTGAGTTTAGCTCTCAGGCCTCCAAGACTGTAAGAAACAACTCTGCTGTATATAATGCGCACAGTGCATGGACTGATAGGACAGGTATCTCAATTAGACAGGTATAGCTCTGGAACACGTAGATCAGCTCCCTGTTTGCAAACCAGGGGAAGGATGCGGAGACACGAGACTGAGGTCATATGAAAGTGAACAGCAGATCCAGAAAAGGCCGGGGTCACAGGCATGCAATGAAGTGATCGAGCACAGAACCCGCAAGTCTGCCCTGCATGTGCTGGAAGCCAAGATGTCCTTCTGCCATTTGACGCTTGGGCGGTCTGCTTGAAGCTGCTGTGTCCAGTGAAATATCTCTGAGGTCCAAGCAGCTTGGTCCTGTGCTGTGCAGGTTATCCTGGGGGTTAGGGTAGGATGGATCTGTGTGTGTGTGTGTGTGTGTCACACATGTGAAGCTATAACAACCATCAGGAAGCTAATCACAATTAACCCTCGAGGGGATGCCCTGCTGTAATGAAGCCATTAGCCAAGAAGCAGTCTGAGGGAGGAAATGAAGCCCGAGCTGTGAGCGCATTGCTCTGATGAGTCTGGGATGGACCTGGGGGGTTCTGGGTCAGGTGATGGCCGGAGCTGCCCGTCCAGACACTCCCGGGACCCAGGCCGCACGCCCACGGCCAGGGGAGGGAAGATGTCAGCCCGTCCACACCAAGCCTTCTCCCTCCAGCCTCAGTTCATCTGCACTCAGCCCTCCGTGTGCCTCACTTCTGCCTGACACCCCTGCGATGCGGAAGACGAAGGGTGTCTGTACTGCAGACGTCCTTCAGACTCTGTTCCCTTTGGGTGAAGGTCCTAACACAAAGGCTATGGAACGTTGCTTCTAAAGCAGCTCCAGTGCCCGCTGGCGCGCGATCCCCTCCGCCGCACGCCCGGCCCCAGCGGGCTGGGGTCCTGCGGTCACTCGAGTCTGCTTCTCCGGCAGGACACAGAACTCCTGAACACGGCCATCCTCACGGGGAAGACGGTGGCCGTGCCGGTCCGGGTGGTGTCTGTGGAGGAGAACAGCACTGTGAGGGACGTCTCGGAGCAGGTGGAGTGCAAGTCCGCCGACGAAGACGTCATCAAGGTGAGTGGCTGCCGGGCGCCGGGCCCGCCGCGAGCCTCGCGCGGCCAAAGTCCCCTCCCAGAGTTGCAACCATCACACGCGTCGCTTTTAACTGTACACCCTGCATGAGGGTCTCGTGAGTTGATCTCTCAGAAGCAGAGTCAGAGGCTGGCCGAGGGGAAGGCGGGGCGCCAGGATGGTAGGCTCGGCCGGGTGGGCGTCTCCTGGGAGAATTCTCCAGGATAGACCCTTCTTCTAGAGGAGAGACATCTTGGAGCCTATGGTGGCCAGGAGAGAAAACTTGGAAGCGAATTTCATCAAGTTCTATGCAGAACCAGACCTTAGCTCCTTACGAATGATTTTGATATGCAGCCCATTACTAATATTTCCAGGAATAGACTCGGTATCCTTGGGGAAATAAATGCATTCAGATTGGAAATTGCCTCCCGGACTGAGCGGGGAGGGGCTGTGCGGGGCTCCTAGCAGGGCCGCGTGGGATCCGAGTCATAGGAAGAAGCCAGGAGGCTGTGCAGCGGGCCGGCCAAGCCTGGGCCGCGCTGCCCCGGGCCTGAGCCCGGCACTTCCGGTCTGGCTGCTCGAGGGCCACTTGCAGAAGTGGTTGGGTGCAAGTCAGGTTTAACTGGTGTTCCCTGCTGTGGGCCCGGGAGTGTAAGATGTAGTGGGGGGTCATCAAGGATCCAAAGGCTCTGAAGGCTCTGAGATCTTACCCCAGTGCAGCCTGGGAAATCCCGTCACACTCTCACGGCTGCGGGCCGAAGACAGGGGGCAGAGGCAGGGGGCAGGGTAAGACCAGCATTTTCCTGCACTCCATTCCCACAGGATGAGCAGGGCTGAGCTGTGCGCGTGTGCGTGTGTGCACGTGTGTGCACGTGTGTGCGTGTGTGCATGTGTGTGTGTCAGCAGCCATGTTACAGGAGCAGCGTGGGCCCGGGGCACACCTGTGTCTTGGGGGGAGGGGTGGGAGTGGGCTGTTTGGAGCACCCCGCACCTGAGAATCCCTGTGCTCCAGAGCTCCAAGGGAACGACCACAGGCCCTGGGCACCTGCCGAGGTCATGAGGGTGGGGGACAGAAAGGAGTCCGGGGACACCACAAAAGAGGCCCCGGCCGGAGCCTGGTCCTGCTCCACTCCCTGCCCTGCTCTCCAGGGTCACGTGAGTCCGCCGGGGTGGCGCCAGCCCCTCTGCCGGGGTATTTGGCGGCAGCGGCTTGCGCTGGCTGAGCGGGGCCCAGCCCTCTCCCTGGGGGAAGCCTCTCCTCTCCTGGCCCAGCATGCAGTTCTGTCTCCGGCTGTGTGCCTGCCATTGTGGAAGGATGCTCTCCCTACACACGCTCTTCAAATCCGGACCAGAGCGCAGAGCCAGGCAGAGATGCACAAGGAAGGCTGTTCCCAGAGTTTGTGCCTCTGCCGTTTGTCTCCCGACACTGCCTCCATTCCCTGCCACCCTTCAGTGTGTGTGTGTGTGTGCGCATGCACGCATGCACGTGTGCACACACACATGTGATGGAAAGGACACTCCCAGCCGGAGCCATCGGCCCTCCTGGTGAGCTGAGCATGCGGGCTGGATGGTGTCCGGTTGAACCCTGGACACGTGGCCATCCGTGGGTCTGACCCGGCCTCCTGAAGAAACCTTTGGAGACTCCCAAAGGCTCCTTTGTCCTCCCTCTTCTTGTCTGTCGCTGGGAGCTCCAGAGAGGACTGGAGTGTGACGAGGCTGGGAGGCAGGACGGAGCACACCTGAAGGAAGGAAGCCCAGGCGGGACACGATTCCCTCCTGCACGAGAGCCTGCGCCTTCTGTGAGGCCCGCCTCCTGCCTCTGGCCACTTAGGACGAGGCGGATGGCTCCACAGCAGCAGGTCCGCCGGAGCCTCCGGACCAGGTCCCGCCGCGTGGGGCAGCCCCACGCCCACGCTCCTCCTCGTTATTTATACATTCCAGAGAGGCCTGCTCCCTCCCACGCACACGCCGAAAGGTAATAAATGAGCAGAGTCAATGGTCTGTAAATTACAACATTGATTAAAGCGGTGATTACTGATATAACTCTTGCTCGGCTGTTATGCTAATGTCTTCCCGGCTCCGAGACGCTGTGTCCACCCTAATGGCAGCTCTGGGACAGTGGCTGAAATTGGCCTCCATTCTCGATCCGTGTAGACATGCGCTCTAACCTACTCTGGCCGGGAGAGTGAGAAGGCCGAGGCCGAGTTCCCTCCCCACGGCTCCACGCCGTCGTCCCTGACAGATGGCGGCCGTCCTCCGGCCCAGCCCTCCCAGCTGCCCGAGCTGACAGAAGCGTGAGAGGCAGAAGACAGTGGATCCCAGAGCAGCCGTGGAGGGGCCCGGGGCTGGGAATGGGGGGCAGGTCACGGAGGCTCACCGCTCAGCCCTGGGCCGCACCCACAGGTCCCCCGCCCCCGGGAGCTCCGTCCCTTCTCGGGGACACAGGCTAGAACAGAGACAAGGAAACCAGCAGCTCTGTACAGCCTCGCATGCGGAGCCCTGATGACATCATCACAGAAGCGCTGTGTGCCTGCAGCTCTCCAGGGAGAATTCGCTTTTCCTGTATTCTCACAGGAGTTCATGACCCTACCACGTCAGGAAGCACTACCTGAGAACTTTCTAGAAGCTTTCACATAGATTTATGTGTCCACTGTTGGGCTCCCTCTCGGTCTCTCACAGTCTCCCCCTTGGGCCCCAAATCCATGATGATCGCTCTGAAGCAGACATGCTCATGGAGGAACGGCACCTGCACCTTCCCGTCTGTCCGTCCGTCTGTCTGTCATCGCCCATCTGCATCCATGTGCCAGCCATTCGTCTGCCCATTTATCCATCTGTCTGTGCATCCCAACTTCTCCTCTGCCACCTTGTCCACCACTCCCACCCCTTGGCAGAACCAACCGCGCCAAATCCGGCTTCATCAAACCAGCTGCATTGAATCCGGCTTCATCAAACCAGCTGCACCAGATCCCGCTTCATCAACCAACTACACTGAATCCCGCTTCATCAACCAACTACACCGAATCCCGCTTCCTCAGCCAACTACACCGAATCCCGCTTCATCAATCAACTACACTGAATCCGGCTTCATCAACCAACTACACCGAATCCCGCTTCATCAAACCAGCCACACCGAATCCCGCTTCATCAACCAGCTGCCCCAAATCCTGCTTCATCAAACCAGCCGCACCCAAAGCTCATCTGAAGCTCTGCATTGGGAGAACCTACGCTGAGCCCGTGTGCCGGGCACGGAGGTGGGGCGCGCGCGTGCAGGGCCGGCCGCGCACCGCCAACCACCCCCCTGTCTCTGCAGGTGTCCGACCACTGTAACTATGTCTTTGTCAATGGCAAAGAGATGAAAGGCAAGGTGGACGCCGTGGTGAACTTCACCTACCAGCACCTGAGCGCGCCCCTGCACGTCACGGTGTGGGTGCCCCGGCTGCCGCTGCAGATCGAAGTCTCCGACACCGAGCTCAGCCAGATCAAGGGCTGGCGGGTCCCCATCGTCACCAGCAAGAGGTGAGCCTGGCGGGACGTGGGGGGGGAGGGGCGTGCAGAGCCATGACAGGGCTGGCTGACTCACCATCTCTGGCTTGGAAGGGCCAATGCAAAGGCACTGGAATCCCCTGACCCCAGCAGCAGTCCGCCGGGACCAAGGCCCTGGGGCCACCCAGCTCAGTTCTCAGGCTGCTAAGTAGCAGGTCATGTCAAACCCAGGTTCTTCTCGCTTGGATTGTCAAAGGCAGGAGGTCGGGATCTGGCTTTCCCAGCCTCTCACAGGGTATCCTGAGGATGGGTGCAGATTGCAGGCGTGAGCACCGACCGGCGCTTGGTCAGAAAATGTTTTAATCTCATAGCACTACAAGGGAATCTACCTATGTAGATGGCTGCCAGTGATTCTGCCCCGTAACCATCAGGGCCATGCCCATGGTCCCAGGCAGGGCCTGCTTGCTGAAGAGCCTCAAGAAAAGCAGCAGGCACACGGAGAGGCAGAACACGGCCGCGAGAACATGGACCGTGGCCTGGTGTGTGGCCAGAGAATGGGTTTGTTCCACATTCCCAAAGGAGACAACCCAACTGGGCTTCCATTCACTCCGGCCACTCACCAGCTCTGTGAGCCTGCCTCAGTTTCCCCATCTGGATGTAGGTAGTGCTGTGAGATTAAAACATTTTCTGGCTGGGCACTGGTGGCTCACACCTGTTATCCTAGCTACTCAGGAGGCTGAGATCTGAGGATCTCGGTTCAAAGCCAACCCAGGCAGGAAAGTCTGTGAGACTCTTATCTCTAGTAAACTACATAGAAAAAGCCAGAAGTGGTGCTGTGGCTCAAGAGGTAGAGTGCTCACCTTGAGCTGAAGTGCTGAGGGACAGTGCCCAGGCCAGAGTTCAAGCCCCACAGCTGACCAAAAATAAAACATTTTCTGCACAAAGTTCAGTCTTTAAATTATTTAATTTGTGTGCATTTTAATTAAAATTTAGCCACATAAGGCTAGTGGCTACTTTTGGGACAGTGTGTGAACACAGGAAATATTCTTACTCCTGTGTGTGTGTTTGTGTGTGCGCGCACATGTGCGTGCACGTGTATGTGGTGTGTGTGTGCATGTGTGCGCGTGTGCGTGCGCGTGTGTGTGTGTGTGTGCGTCTGCTGGTGCTAAGGCTTGGCTCAGGGCCTTGCACTTTTTGCTCAGGGCTGGCACTCTACTTGTTGTGGCACACTCTGCTGAGGGCTTTTTGATGGTTAATTGGAGATAGACATTCCTGCCTGAGCTTACAGTGAGCCAAAACCCTCAGGCCTCAGCCTCCTGAGCAGCGAGGATGACAGGCATGAGCCACCGGCTCCTGGCAATAACTGTATTGCAGGACAGTGGCAGAGCCAGGGCTCCTCCAGCGGCCTGGGCTCCAGGTCAGCGCCATCTCCCGGAGGCGGAGACGAGCGCGTACCCAGCTCTCGAGCGCCCTCCCTTCCTGTCCTGCTGTGAGAGCCAGCCCCTTGTCCTCCCCCAGGCCCACTCGGGACAGCGAGGAGGAGGAGGAGGCAGAGGAGGAGGAGCAGCGGGGTCGAGGCTGCACTCTGCAGTTCCAGCACGCCACCGTGAGGGTCCTCACCCAGTTTGTGTCGGAGGGCGCCGGGCCCTGGGGCCCGCTGAGCTACCTGCTCAGCCCCGACTGGCAGCTGGACATCACACACCTGGTGGCCGACTCCCTGAAGCTAGAGGCTCCGCACGTGGCCACGCTGCGGGACGGCCGGGTGCTGGTGGGGCGGGAGGTCGGCATGACAACCATCCAGGTAGGTCGCCGTCTGTCCACGCCACGGTCTGCATCCTACATCCTGTTCATAAACAAAAACAAGCCACCCATGGTCAGCTTCGGGGGACAGAGGCGGGGCACAGGGCAGTGCTCCGGCAGGCATGCGCTGTGCTGGTGGGCAGCACGGAAACCCGGTTCTCCCCATCAAGAAGTTGACTCAGAATGCAGTCCTTGGGGACCTGGGGCCCTGGTGGCCGTGTGGTCCACCCTGCCGGACCTTGCACAGGGAAGGAGTCCTTATCTGTGCGGCAGGGACCTTTCCTTTTTAAACACAATGGCTTTGGCTCTTTTAGTCTGTCTGTTCTCTGGCCCGAGGGACAGGAGCTGGGAGGGGCGGTGGCCGATCTCCCAGGCAGTGTCCCCAGTGGCTCCACGTGTCGCCGGGGCATGCAACGCCTTTGCCCCGTGCTGTGCGCCGGGACCTTGGGAGCGAGACACAGAGGCCCGAGCCCCACGTCCCCTGTGTCCCTCGGCCTGCAGGTCCTGTCCCCGCTGTCCGACTCCATCTTGGCGGAGAAGACGGTAACCGTACTGGACGACAAGGTGTCGGTGACGGAGCTGGCTGTGCAGCTGGTGGCCGGGCTGTCCGTCACCCTGCGCCCCAGCGCAGACCGGAGCCAGGCGGTCACCGCCGTGGCCACGGCCGAGGAGCTGCTGCGCTCCCCGAAGCAGGTGGGTGGCAGGCCGCCTGGCACACACCTGGCTCACAGGTGCCAAGGGGCGGGGCGGGGGCGGGGCGGGGCGGGGCCACCCGGACCGGGGGCGGGGCGGGGCGAGGGCGGGGCCAGCCAGACAGGGGGCGGGGCCGAGGTGGGGCGGGGCGGGGGGCGGGGCCGGGGTGGGGCGGGGCCGGGGCGGGGCCAGCCAGACAGGGCCGGGATGGGGCCGGCTGCGGCACGGGGCGGGGCCGGGGCGGGGCCAGCTGGACGGGGCCGGGGCGGGGCAGGGTGGGGGTTGGGGGCGGGGCCGGGGCGGGGCCAGGGGCCGGGTCAGGGCCGGGCCCCGGCGTGGGGGTGGCATGCCCATGCCCTCTCACACCACCCTCCCCACCCCTCCGCCCCGAGCTGAGCCTGAGACGAGGATTCGGTGCGTGGCTTTATCGGGTGTCCAGTGCGGGCACTCCACTCCCGGGAACAGCTAGACACAGGCGCCCGAACACGGGGCGCGGAGACCTGCACTCCGCGCCGGGCTCCGCGGCGGGCTCCGGGCCAGGCTCCGCGCCGGGCTCCGCACTGGGCGCGCTGGGCTCCGCGCCGGGCTCCGCGCCGGGCTCCGCACTGGCTCCGCACTGGCTCCGCGCCGGGCTCCACGCCGGGCTCCGCACTGGGCGCGCTGGGCTCCGCACTGGGCGCGCTGGGCTCCGCACTGGGCGCGCCGGGCTCCGCGCCGGGCTCCGCACTGGGCGCGCTGGGCTCCGCACTGGGCGCGCCGGGCTCCGCACTGGGCGCGCTGGGCTCCGCGCCGCGCGAGGATGGCGGGGCAGTCGGCAGTGAGTTCTCTGACCTTGACAAGGTCGCCGGCCTCCAGGTGTGGACTTGGGCCCCTGCCCCCCGAAGGCCGCGCCCTCTGACCGCCCTCTCCCCGCAGGAGGCCGTGGTCAGCACGTGGCTGCGGTTCAGTGACGGCTCTGTGACCCCCCTGGACATCTATGACGCCAGGGACTTCTCGCTGGCCGCCACCTCCCTGGACGAGGCCGTGGTGTCGGCCGCGCGGCCCCGCGCCCCGGGCCGGCCCTCGGTGCTGGCCGAGGGGGAGGGCCAGGGCCCCCTGCTGCGCCTGGACCTAAGCATCGCCGAGGCCTGCCAGAAGTCCAAGCGCAGGAGCGCGCTGGCCGCGGGCGTCGGCCACGTCGCCGTCAAGTTCGGACAGCACGACGCCGACGCGGGGCCGCGCGGCCAGCCCGAGGACGGGGCCCTGGAGAACCACGCCAGTGACCGCCGGCCCAAGGGGCCGGACCCTGAGCGCCCGGGCCCGGACGGACGCCCGCAGGACGGCGTCCCCGCGGAGCGGGACGAGGGGGCGCCGCGGGGGGCCCGCGCCACGGCCAGGCCGGCGCCCGACAGCAAGGTGGGCAGGAGCGGACGGACGGACGGGGGGCGGCCGTCGGGGGAGGCCCAGCTCCACCACATCCCCATCGACTTCACCAACTTCCCGGCCCTGGTGGGCCTGCCCAAGGCGGGCGGCGGGCTGCAGCAGAGCAACCCCGGGCCCGGCGCCCGGGGCCCCAGCGACCTGGAGATCGGCATGTACGCGCTGCTGGGCGTCTTCTGCCTGGCCATCCTGGTGTTCCTCATCAACTGCGCCACCTTCGCGCTCAAGTACAGGCACAAGCAGGCGCCCCTGGAGGGCCGGGCGTCCGTGACACACGCGCACGACTGGGTGTGGCTGGGCACGGAGGCCGAGCTCCTGGAGAGCGTGGGCGCTGGGCCGCCCCGCCCGGACGAGTGCACCACCGCCGTGGACCGAGGGCTGGGCGGCTGGGAGGAGAGGGACCGCCTGCTTCTCAACGGGGGCACCCAGGTGTCCGCACAGGCCCAGCGGCCCAGCGGCCCCGGGGGGACGCCGGCCAAGGAGGCCAGGCCCGAGCCGCTGCACTCGCCCACCGCCAAGCGGAAGAAGGTGAAGTTCGCCACCTTCTCCACCACCCCACCCGAGGACGGCTGCTCCCCAGCGAACCCCATCCTCGGGGGCAGCGAGGACATCAAGTGGGTGTGCCCAGACCTGGCCGCGGCTGCGCCCAAGGAGCTCAGAAACTACCTGGGGAAATAACGCCCAGGACCACCTGGTCCTCCCAGGGAGGACGAGGCTGTGAGCCGGGCAGAGGGAGCGGCCCTGGGGCTGGGCAGGGCAGGGCGGAGCCGCAGCCCCAGCAGCAGCAGCAGCAGCAGCAGCGCTGGAAGGGTGGAGGCCGGGCAGGGACACTTTTGCACCGAGGGCCGTCCTTTTTTAGCAGTAGATGAAGGTGGAGTTTTGGAATTCAGGTTCCCTGGTGCCAGGCAGAGGAGCTGGGTGCTCGGAACCGAAGCACACAGATACAGGAAGCTTATTTTATCGGTCGGAATACAACACGGACAAACTACCAAAAATTATTTGTTAAAAAAAGCAAAAAGACAAATAAAAACAGACAAACGATATCCTGTTCATATTTCTAATTTTTAAAAAGCAAAACATAGAAATAGGGCCTGCTAAGAGACCTTGTCCATTTGAACTCTGTCCTGTCTTCTGGAGTCAGCCTGGGAACTTCAGCCTAGGGAGGGAGACTGTTTCCAGGCAGGGCCTCACCGTGTAGCTCAGGCTAGCCTTGAACTTTTAGTCCTCTGTGTGTTGGCATTACAGGCATGAGCTACCACAGCCAGCCGGAAGAGTCTATGCTGAATATTGGTTATGTCCTGAGATAGAAACAAGGATTTTTACATTTTTAATTGAACAAGCACATCTCTTTTCCATTCTTCTTTGTACATTTGATTAACAGTTAATGCTTATTGCTTAGAATCAAGTGGCATATTTTTCTTAAATGAAATATATATTCCTGTTCTTTAGATGATGTTTTGTTTTAGAAATGATGCCAGCCAACCCATTATTTAAACTATGACTTTATAGCTTATCTCCTTATATCCCACCATGGATGGTATTTGCTGGTGGTTGTTATTATTACAGTTTCAGGAAGTGATCGTTGCCCTCTGAGATAGGTGGGGGCTGTGAGGACCCCTCCCCCACACCACAGGGCCAGGGTCAGAACCCAGCCATTGGTCAAGGCTGTCTAAAGCTGACGTGCAGGGCTCCATTCCTGTGGGGCCGGGGGAAACTCCTGCATGAGAACCCGGTCAAACCCAAGAGACAGTGGCCACGAGTGATCAGAACAGCCTGGCCTGGTGACTGAACCACAAGGCAGAACTAGCGCGCCGCTCTGCCTGCTTTTCAACTCGCTGAGCTGGGCAGAGGATCCCAGTGGAAAGTTGGAGGATAAAAATCTGTGTTAGGCAGGGCGCCAGTGGCTCACGCCTGTCATCCTAGCTACTCAAGAGACTGACATCTGAGGATCACGGTTCAAAGCCAGCCTGGGCAGGAAAGTCCACAAGACTCTTATCTCCAATTAACTACCAGAAAACTGGAAGTGGCGCTGTGGCTCAAGTAGTAGAGCGCTAGCCTTGAGCTGAAGAGCTGAGGGACAGCGCCCAGGCCGAGAGTTCAAGCCCCATGACTAACCCAAAAAAAAAAAAAAAAATCCATGTTAGCTTGTTCATAGACCGTGGTTTTGAACAGCAGGACTGTGTGGAAACACAACAAAACTCACTCGGCTCAAGTTGCACGCTCATGCATGTGTGCATGCATGTGTGTGTGCCTGGGAACGGTGGCCAGGCAGCCCCGTGTGGGGCAGGGGCAGGGGCTCCGTGCTATCCCGGGGCCATGTGCGGCTGCACCGCACACCTCACGTGCTTGGGGCAGGGGAGGTGCTCACAAACACGCAGGATGGTTGTGTGTGCGTGTGTGTTCATTACTCAAATCAGTAGATCAAGCACCCTTGGAGCCTCAGTTTGGAGCTATAAAAATTGTATTTGTAGCTCATGTTACAGATAGAAGATACTGACACCCACAATGCTAAGTGTCACTAAAATGCTTCCCGCGGCTTCACAAGCCCGTGTGTTGGTGTTTCTTAGTGCACTGATCCCTGAGGTCCTGCTGGAGGGAGGACTGTCCTCCTGGATGGCCACGTGGCGCCCATCGGCATCCGTCAGACCACCGCCTGCCCCCACATGAGCACTGTGACCACGCCTGAGCATGCCTGAGCAGGTCTGGGCACGCCCGAGCGAGCGCAGCTGCTGGCTGAGCAGCCAACACGTTCCCCCCCCCCCCCCCCGCCCGGACCCCGCTGCGGCCCCTCCCCCGCCCAGGCCCGGACCCTGCTGCGGCCCCTCCCCCGCCCAGGCCTGGGAGCCCCCACCGCAGCTCAGGCCTCCAGCCGTGCAGACGCAGGCTGGCTTTTTCTTGGAGCGTGCTTGCTCAGGCTAGGAGAGCGTCGTGGCTAGGAGCTGGTTGGAGGCTGAAAGCGGGTTTTTTAGACCTCACCGCCTGCGTCAGCGTCCCGTGTGAGGGGCTCCGGTCCGGCGCTGCTTCCCAGCCCGCTCCCCCAGGTGCGCCACAGAAGGTCTGTGTCCAGACGCTGGGCCCGGCCCATGCAGCCAGACGCTGGCATCACCAGCTCCGCTGGGGCGTTCTCTGACTCTGAGGCACCTCTGTCGCTCCTTTTCCACCGGGAGCCACTCTGATCTGCAGTCCCCAAGTCTCTGTGAGACGAGACCAAAGCCATCCTTGGCCCTGGGGAGCCTCTCCGGACAGACTGTAAGTGGGGGCGCTGAGGGGAGCCGAGGCTGCACCCCTAAACCGGGTCAATCATCTCTAGCCAGGACCATGATGACCTCTCTGAGTCACCTCAAAAAACCAGAGCAGAGCTAACGATCAGGCTGACCAGCCCTCCCCCATCCTCCCCCCCCCCCCCGTCCTCCCCCGCCCTCCCCCCATCAGCGCTGCATGCCTCCCAGCTGTGCAAACCCACAGCCCTGGGCTTCGTTCCCCTTTTCTAATACCTCAAACTTCCCCTCCGCCCCTCACAAATAGATCTGCGTCTCCGGGCCTCTACTCTCGGTTCCTCCCGCTGTTCCCTCTTCTCTTTGATGGGCACGGGGCGCTTGTGGCTGAGCCGAGACTCTCAGAACTCCCAGAGTGGGGGCTTTTTGCCCTAACACTCTGGTGTTGGGATCAGTCAGGCCTGCCCAGTCACGGCCACCCCAACGGGCTGGCCGGGTCGGTGTCTACCCAGAGTTCCAGCAGGCCTGCATTCCGCAAGGCCAGCGAGCGTGTCTGTTCTGGTGCCTCTTGAATCTCCTGTCGTCTAGACAGACCAGCTTGTGAACCCGGTGCCGGCCACAGGAGTGGACCACAGCCCCTGCTACAGCCCGCAGGTCGCCAGTGCCCAGGGGACACGTAACACAGAGCGCATCCATCTTCTCACATTTTCCAGAAACCAGATAAAAAGGAACAAGCATGTGAAAGCCATTTTAATAGCATTTTGTTAAGTCTGAGTTACCTAACCCTGCCCCCTGGAGGCATGCAGTCAATACCCAGAATCGAGTAACGGGAGATCTGTCTGCAGTTTTGCACGAAGGACCCGAAATGCCCAGGGTGCATCTCAACTCACTCTGCCTCAGTCCAGTGGCCTCAGTGGTAGATCTCCAGTGTGGGGCGCCATGTTCTACCACACACACCCTGGGAGGACAGACATGCACTCCAAAGAGCGAGACCGATGCAGACAGACACCGCCCTGTGCTGAGGGCCAACCAAGAGACAGCATCGGACACGCGGGCACCTTCTCTCAGGTAAAGGTGGACTCTGAGGATGAAGTATAGCTTTCCCAAGGCTTGCGCATGTGCAGAGGAAGGCAGGAAGGACAGGGTTGGGGGTCTGCTTCATGAGGAACCCATTTGGCATCCTGGGCCTGTCTGCTGGCCCATCTGCCTGTTGCGGGAGCAGGGCTGGAAGGAGACCTGGCCGGGACAACCCTTCTCCTTGCCCGGCCCACCTGGAGGAGGAGAGCAGGGCCTGCTTCTCATCATGCCTGCCTCTTTTTCCTGAACCTTAGCTCTCAGCACTGGCACCAGTGGAAAACCAGGCAGCAAGACTGAAGAGGAGGCAGAGGGAGCTGCAGAGTTGGCGGGAGAGGTGCCGCTCTCCGGAAATAGCCCATGGGTGGCCCTTCCACTTCCTCTACCCCACGGCAGGCTCCTGCCAGTGGGGCCTGCGCAGCCTGGCTGGCTGATTCTGTCTTCAGGTCCCTCACGGGGGTTGAGCAAAATGGGAGCCAACGCTGGGGACACTCAGGGCCCCTTTGTCACGTGCTGGGGGAGCAGGCCCCCGGGCCCTCTCTGCACGCTGGCCCTGCCCTGGGGTTTACGCAGCAGAGAACAAAGCTGTAATTTCTGGCAGATGTCCAGGTTTATAGCGTCTGCCTCCCAAAATATTCATGTCTACACCGCCCCTCAGAACGTGGCCTGATCTGGATACGCGTCTACAAGACAGAATCAGCGCCGCTGCGGTCACTCTGGAGGCAGGAGGGACAAACGCAATCAGGGTGTGCTCACCAGACAGCCAGAGTGACAGCCCCCAAAAACGGCCCGTGAGGACAAGGCTAGCCACTGCCAGTGAGGGCGGAGCTGAAGGCTAGCCCCTCCTAGTGAGGGTGGGGCTGAAGGCTAGCCACTGCCAGTGAGGGCGGAGCTGAAGGCTAGCCCCTCCCAGTGAGGATGGGGCTGAAGGCTAGCCCCTCCCAGTGAGGGTGGGGCTGAAGGCTAGCCCCTCCCAGTGAGGGCAGAGCTGAAGGCTAGCCCCTCCCAGTGAGGGCAGAGCTGAAGGCTAGCCCCTCCACAGAGTGGTCCTTGCAGGGCCTGTGGAGGGAGCTAGGCCGGCTCAGGCCTGGCGCTTACCTTCCACGACCAGAAGAAACTGCCACCTCGAAAAGCCACAGAAAACTTCTGAGAGGGAAAAAAAATCTCTAAATGGAAAGTCCCTTTCTCTCTCTACCCCACTGATTTTAGTGTCCCCAAGCAGCACAGAGCCTGGAATTTTCCAAGCATGCCAAAAGATCAAAGGCTTTCTGTGTGAGACAGGACGGGAGCGCTCCCCTCGGGCTGGGGACGCAAACCTGTCTGCAGGTTGGACGTGGTCTTGGCTGTGTTTGTTCTGGAAAGGCCAACTGAGCCGTCACATAACTCCAGGAGGGGGTGAGAGACCAGGGTGTGAGCCAGGCACCTTTGATTAATCAAGAAGTGGTTGTCCAGCAGGAAAAAAAAAAAAAAAGACACATTTCTGCATTTCCTTTTGTGAATAAACGCTTTTTTGGAAGCTGCTGGAAATCTGCTTCTTTTTTCTCCCCACCCAAATCAGATTTTTTTTCATTAGTTCTGAACATGATTGATCTAGCGGCAGATTCGGTGATTTTTCTACAAGGCATTCACACTCGATTGTCCTGAATCCAATTAACACTGGCAGAACGCCACTGCCACGCCAGGGGGCCTGCAAAGAGAGCTTTGTGGTTCGCACAGAGCAGAGCTGGCTGTGGATTAGTAGGACAGGCGGAC